GTCTGGCCGTGCGCCTTAAGCGCCTGGAGCGTCCGCGAATTGGCGAGAAGCGCAGATGAAAAGGAGCGGAGAGTGTCTTTAGCCACCCTGCTAGAACGTGGCTCGGGTTAACGTGATGTTGCCCGCCTGCTTCCTGGGTGTCCGGTGTAAGGGCTCCGTCCTCTGTGCCTCACGGAGACGTTCGGGTCCTGAGGTCGCGTGCCCCGTCCAGACACGCTCCCTGAACTTCCTGACACGTGTTACCGTGTGTTCCGAGCGGCCGGGCAGTCTGGGTGAGGGCGTAGGGAACCCCTGTGGGGGAGGAAAGCTCGGGAGCTGCTGCAGGCGGCTGGAGACAGCTGCACATAGGCCAGCGTCTGCGCTTCCTGGAAGGGAAGCCGCTGAGGGGAGGTCCGTGTGGGCTGGGCTGCAGGACGGAAGCTGCCGAGTGCTTTGAGGAAGGTTTGGTTACCCTTGGCCGTTCTCGAGTTGGTTTGAAGGACCTTCCCCAGGTCTCACGGTGTCCTCTCGTGGTGAGGAGCGCCCACCTAGACGTGTTCCTCCGCGCGCTCGCTCGGGCTCTCCTTGGGGCTGTGCGGCACGTTTGGGATAAAATCTGTTCTCTCGTTTAGCCGTGGATGGCAGGTCAGCGGAAGAGCGGAAGGTGAGACCAGCAGATCCGCCCGTCTTGCCGGCTCCTCAGAAGGCAGATGCTAATCCAGAAAACTCGCCGGGGCTTTTACCCCAGGTTCGTTCGGTGAACTCCACGTGGGGTTGCGACCGGGGTCGGTCCCACGGGCGTTTCAGAACCGCGCGCGACGTTCCACACGGACGGGGGAGCGGTTCTTTCCCTTGTTGTTTGTCTGATGTTCGCGCCCTGCGCCCCTTATTCTGAGCCAGTGGGATGACGCTTGGGCAAGGAGGAGGAATGTTCTCTCCTTCCTTCCCCTGGGATACCTGCTGGTGAGCGAAACAGACCCGCCCCTTGTCTGGAGGAGCTGCAGGCCGGCGGGAGCAGGCCGGTGGCCGCGGTGTCCTCCAGGGATGAGGCTGGGGACGGGACGCTGCACTGCGGCGTGAGACCGGGCAGCCGCTGGTCCTGGGTGGAGTCGGGAGAGCAGGGCTTGAGTCCGGTGACGTCGCCCGAGGCAGGGGGAGCTGGGCTTGTTCCGGGAGCTGCGGTTTCAGAGGGCGTGGGCGGGGAAGGGGGCTGGGGTCAGGCCCCACGGGGAGCGGCCAGGAGGCCTCTCTGCAAACCGTCTTACTCGGAGGCTGTGTGTCAGACGGCTCACGTCCTCCCTCGTGGAGCCGACACGCACGTCTCTCGCTCCTCTCGGCCGCTCTCGTGCACCTGGGCTCTCGTGACGGCGATGGGAGCAGAGCCCGCCTGCACGGTTGCCCGCCGAAAGACACGCTTCCGTTGCCCGGGAGGCCCGTGATCCCGTCTGTGGGGGCGGCCGGGGTCGGTGTGCACGGCTCCCCGGGTCCGGGCCTCGGGGCGCGGGGCCCCCTGTGGCGGGGCCGCTGGGACCTTTCCTGCTGCTCGGACTCCGGCACTCGTGCCCCAGGCCTGGGGCAGCCCCGGTGCTTTGCGCGCGGCCAGATCCCGTCCTCTTGGCCACGGGGGTCCCGGCTCCGTGGCACTGGCGTCTTCACAACGAGGACCTCTTCACGGGTCCTGTGGGTCCTGAGCGGCAGAGGTGTGCTCGATCCCTGAGTCGGCCTCCTTGCTGTGTCCTGCGGAGGAGGGGCCTCCTCCCGCCCTCCGCTGACGACAGGCTACGCCTGGGCCCCCGCGCTCCGTCCCTGGACCCGGTGCCCTGGCCGCCCGGTTCTGAGCACGAAGGGTGGGGGTCCTGGGGCACGGGCCCGGGACAGCGTTCTTTGCGCCTCCATCCACGGGGACGTGGCTCTGACCCTTTATCGCTACCTTTAGGGCCTGTGACGGCCTGGAACCCTCCTGGGCCAGGATGCTAACCCACTGCCCAGGGCTGCGCCAGCCCGTTGGCACAGTCTCCGCCCCGGTTGGTCAGGGCCCGGGGATGGTGAGAAAGGATCTTCTGGCCAAATCTGCGTGTTGCCGTGGGAGCGGGAAGGCATCTCCTCCGGGGGCCGTGCGCCACCAGCCATTCCACGCGGTCCGTGGGGTTGGGTCTGATAGGGAGAGCATCCCAGGTGGAAACGGAGTGGCGGCTCCTGGGGCGTTGAACTGTTTTCACGAGTGGCTCTCGTTTCGATCTAGAAGCCTCAGAGGCATTTCCGACGGGGACCGCCCAACCTGCAGATTAGAGCCCCCGACAAAGACTCCAAGGACCGGAGGCAGGATGACACGAGGCGGAGGGACGAGGTGGTGGGCGACGCTCGTCAGGAAGAGAGCACACAGAGAACGGTGGTCAGGTACAGGGAGCGTCAGAGACGAGGCAGCACGGGTCGCTAGATGCGCAGAGGCCGGTCCGTTTGACGTTTCCTGAAAAACAAAGGGATAGGATCGGCGCGCTGTCTGAAGCGGCTTCTCCTCTCAGAGCAGACAGTGGAGAGAGCGGGACCCCGGTGGGGGCGGGGCCCTGCCTTCTCCGCGTCGTGCCGCACGGAGCGGAGGGCCGCCACGAGCCCAGCCAGGCTGTGCCCGCGGGCGTTTGCATCCCTGCCCTCGAGCCGGCTGACTCCTCTTCCTCCTCTCCCTGAAGCTGGAGGGGTGCAGTGATCGAGCCGGAGCAGGGCACCGAACCCCCTTCGAGAAAGGCAGGGGGCCCCCCCACCAAGCCTTCCTCACAGGCCCCCGGGATTCAGAACCAACCAGGTAAGGCCCCGCCGGCGCCCCGTCGGGCCTCACCCGGACATGGTGACGGAGAGGGCGCGTGGACACCCAGCTGGGCACCCGGGCGGGCCCCAGCTCTCTGTAGAGCCTCGGGGAGGACACGGGGCTCCACGGCGGCCCGCGGTCCCAGGCCCGTCGCGGCAGCCACAGGCCGCCTGTGCGGGAACTGCCCGCGTCCGTGCCAGCGCGGGGCCTGGGGAGAGCGAAGACACGGCCCTGGCTCGGTGGGGTCCTGGGGTCCTGCGTTCTGGCACCTGTAGTGGAGGGCCCCCGGGGCACTGGCGCTTTGTACGCTCCGTGCGGCCTGTCTGCTCTGGTTCTCGTGGCGGCCTTTGAGGTCATCGGTCTGTCGTAGGCCCGTTCCACGGACGGGAGAACCGAGGTTAGGCCGGCAGCGGCCACGGCCATTTGCCTCCCGGAGCGGGGGCTCGCGCCGGGTCAGCCGAGCCTGGGGCCCGGGCTGGGACCCTCCGGTCCTGTCGCTGTTGCCACTGAGGAGGGGAGGAGGAAGAAGGCGCCCAGAGCCCGGACGGGCGGCCCGGGCGTGTGGGGGGGAGGCAGAGCGATCGCGGGGCTCTGAGGACCGATGTCAGAGCCGCAGATACCAACACGACTGGGCCTCGGGCCACACCGAGAGGACACGTGTCGCGAAGCCGCCGACGCCCACGTTTCTGTCCGCCCGGTGGCCCTGTAACTCGTGCCTGGTCCTCCGGCTGTGTGGAGGGGAGAAACCTTCTCGGTCGGCGTCAAGGCCACCCTGGAAGGGCCCCAGGGCGGCCTTGGGTGTGTCTGCCACACGCTGTTCCCTCCCCGAAAACACCCAGAGCTGCTGACGCGCGACGCGGGCACCTGTGAGATGAGGCGCTCTCGTGGAGGTCACCGGGGCCCGCCCGCCCGCCCGCCACGTCGGATGCTCCCCCGGCCGGATTGCACAGCGCGGCTGCCGTGGCGGAGCGGCAGGCACCGGTCTGCTGCCTCAAACACCGCCGCCCACCGCGCGTTCCCCGCAGCTCCAGAGAGTCGTGCCCGCCGGGCGTCTGGCGGAGGCGGACGGGCGCAGGCCAGGCGGATGAGAGGCCGAGCCGTCGCGTGTGGGCCCTGGAGGCCTCGCCACCTTGGCAGCCGCGTCCAGCCGTGCGGCCCCGAGCCCGGCGGCGCCGCGCCCCGATCTTTGGGGTCGTCCGCTGCTGACCCGCGGCCCCGGACGGTGTCCCCCCACCCCACTGAGCGCCCCCGCGGCTTGGGGCTGCAGAGGGGCGGTGTCTGAACCCCGGGCGGTTCCGGTCCCCACGACCCGCCGTCTTCCTCCCAGCCTCCCCGAACGAGCGTCAGAGGGCCGTGATAGACGCCTTCCGCCACGCGTGGACCGGCTACCGCAAGTTCGCCTGGGGCCACGACGAGCTGAAACCCGTGTCCAGGTCCTTCAGCGAGTGGTTTGGCCTGGGACTTACGCTGATTGACGCCCTGGACACCATGTGGATTTTGGGTCTGAAAAGAGGTACCTGCTCGTCCCCGAGCACGCGGCCAAGTTCCCCCGGTGCAACGCTTGGGCGCGCGAGTGAGCGAGCGAGCCGTGCCCTGGAGGGTGTAGACGCCACTGTTTCCGTCTGAGGAGCTCTCCCTTCCCCTGGGCGGCAGGCAGTCGCCTTGTCCCTTGATGGCAGGCGTCCCGGGGACGCTCAGGGCAGTCGCCCCCTCGGCTCCCGGCCGAAGGCCTGGGCTGGCGTCCGGGGGCAGTTCCAGCCCGTGCTCCCGTCCTAGCCGGAGAGGGGCTCCCTGGTGGGAGGCGGCACGTGATCCTATGAGGCCATCGGCGTCCCGGGTCTCTCCATCACACCCTTCTCAGGCCACGTGGACGGGGTGTGGTTGAGGCTACGGGTCTTTGGGTACTTCCGAATCGGTCTCTCGGAGCCCATTTCCGGTGTTCCGTAGAGGCCAGAGGCTCCCCCTGAGTTACTCACGTGGCCCTTTGTGCCGTGGCCTTTACCCGTCAGCGTTGGTGCTCACGACGGCTCGCTGGCTGCCCGTCCTCCGGGTGCAGGGGGCCCCGCGGTGTGTCCCCTTGCCGTGGGAAGTGATGGCGAGGCCCCTCGGGAGAGAGAGACACGAGGACGCACGTGGCCCCAGAGCCAGCGAGCGGTCACGGGGGCGCCGGGACCTGTAACCTACTGCCGCTCCCACCCCGTCTCCCGTCGCAGAGTTTGAAGAAGCCCGCAAGTGGGTGTCTAAGAAGCTCCGGTTTCAGAAAGACGTGGACGTCAACCTGTTCGAGAGCACGATCCGGATCCTGGGCGGCCTTCTGAGCGCCTACCACCTGTCCGGGGACGACCTCTTCCTGAGGAAGGCCGTGAGTGTCCGGGCGCCGGTGGAGGTTCCGCGGCTCGAGGGGCCCCCGGGGGGTGGGCGCGGGGGTCTGTTCCGGGTCTCCCGTCTCCCCGGTCGTCTGGGTCTCGCTCCCGCGCACGTGCGTGGGAAGGTCCCTGTCACCGTCGCGACCCGTGGGGAAGCGCTCTCGGGGCTCCTCGGTCTCACCGCTGTTGAGCGCCGAGGCCACGTGAAGCCAGTGAGGTCCCGTGTCCGCTTACGGGGGTGAGCGCGGGTGGCGGGGTGGCGGGGGTGGGGCGGGAGGGTGGGCGTCGTGGAACGGAGCCGAGGCTGGCGTGTGACGGGAAACCTCGGTCCTCGTCGTGTCGCGTCATCAGGAAGACTTTGGGAATCGGCTGCTGCCTGCGTTCCAGACGCCCTCCAGGATCCCATACTCGGACGTGAACATCGGCACCGGAGCCGCCCACCCGCCCCGCTGGACCTCGGACAGCACGGTGGCCGAGGTCACGAGCATTCAGCTGGAGTTCCGAGAGCTCTCCCGCCTCACGGGGAGTAAGAAGTTTCAGGTACGGGGGGCCGGCCTGCCGGCCGGAGGCGTCACACCAAGCGGAGGCGTGCGTGGACTTGACCCCGGGCCGCGGGACCACCGTCCTGTGTGCTTTCCGGTCCCTCGTTCCTCGCCTTTCCTCAGCTGCGCGGGCGGGAAGGGTGTCGACTGGGGGCTGAGTCCGAGCGCGGGCCCGTGTCCTTGGGGTCCCAACTGCCCCCTGCCTCGTGCTGTGGTGGCCCCCGGGGGTGGTCCGTGCCGGGAGCGAGGCAGGGGCCCACGGTCGTGGGTTTCGGCCTCGCTAGCCCGTCGCTGACGGTCCTTGTGGACCTCGCTCCTGACCCTCGCCCCGACCCCGTTGGCCGGGGTCCCTCTCCTTGTGGGTGAGTCTCCAGGACGCGGCGGACCCTCTGGACTTGGCGCTCTGCCTCGTCACTCTTCCTCTGCCTTAAAAACCTGAGCTGCGATTTGAACGTCAGCAAGTTTTGCCTCTTGGCTCGAACGCCGCGCCACAGTCCCACGTGGGCAGCGGCCGCCACCGTCTGATTCCAGAACCAGGTCCTCGCCTCAGGAAGTAGGCCAGCGCACCCTAGCGCTCCCACCCGGGCCCCCTGCCTCGGTGGCCGCAAATCCACTTGTCGTGCGTGGCTTTCTCTGTTTGGAATGCTCGGCGTGAGTGAGGTCCTACGTACGGCGTGGGCCGTCTGTGGCCGGTTCTGTCGCCACGCGTGACGTCTTCGTCCGCGCTGGAAGCGTCCGGGAGAAGCGCACCCGTGTCGTAGCACGTGTCCGAAGCATCCCTTTTCGTGGCCCGGTGGTCTGCCATCGTGCGGTCGGACCACGTGCTGTCCGGGCTCTCGTGCGTTGAGGAGCAGCTGGGGGTGGTAAGAGCGGCGCTCCCGGGAGAAGGTTCCAGGCGCACGCACACAGGGCTCTGGCTTTTCCGCGGCAGCCCGCGCTTGTCCTCCGGTCTTTCTCGGTAGCCTTCGCGGTGGGCACGTGAGGGTGCCTCCTCTGGGCTGTGGATTTTGTCCTGATGACGTGTGGCGTTTTCCAAACGCCCGCAGGCCCCGTGTTCATCTCCCGGGTGGAGGTGGGCGTCCGGGTGCCTGTCTGCCTGTCGGCGGATTAGCGGCTTTCCTGTCGTTGGCTCGTACTCCGGAAGCTCAGCGTCTCTCTGTTTGCTCTGAGACGCCGGCCGGGCGCCGTTGCGATGCCGGATCTCTGTAGCTGCCGGAGACCCAAGGGAAATTGAAGCCGCTCCTGCCTCAGAGGACTTTGTAAAAAGGGGCGGGCCGTACGTGGCGGGTGGAGGCCAGGAAGTCACTCCCCAGGCAGGGTCCCGAGCGCCGTGAGCAAACGCGCACAGGGCCATGGAGCACAGATGCGTGGCGCTGCCCGGGAGGAGCTGAGGTTGGTTGGGTCTCGAAGGATGAACAGGATCGGCGGGCGGGTGTGCCGCGACCGCGGGCTCGGAAGCAGACGCGCCTGCCTTCCCTCCAGCGAGCGGGAGCAGACGGCCACGCCTGGGCAGGAGGTCCCGGGGACCGCGGCTGTGGCCTTCAGACACGGTCCCCTGCCAGGAGGAGGAGCTCAGCCCCGTGTTCGGGGCCCTCGGCATCTGCCCGCTCATCGAGGCAGCCGCGTGTGAGGGTGGGGACCTGGTTGCCGCGTGGCTGGGGCCACCCTCAGAAGCCCTTGCCCGGTGCAGCCGGGCAGGGGAGCGCCGTGGGCCGGGACACCGGCCTCTTCCGTCCTCTTCCGTCCTCCGCTGGGAACGGGCCCGCCTGTCACGGAGGAGGGGTGAGCCGACGAGGCCCGCCTTCCTCGGCTGGCCCGAGGTCCGGCAGCCCCGTCCCCCTGGCTCACCCGCGCTCTCCCCGTGTGTGTGTGTGTGTGTGTGTGTCCCAGGAGGCCGCGGAGGAGGTGACGAGGCGTGTGCACTCCCTGTCGGGGAAGAAGGACGGGCTGGTGCCCATGTTCATCAACACGCACAGCGGCCTCTTCACTCACATGGGAGTGTTCACTCTGGGCGCCAGGGCCGACAGCTACTACGAGTACCTGTTGAAGCAGTGGATCCAGGGCGGAAAGAAGGAGACGCAGTGAGGCCTGTTTCTGCTGCCTCGGGGACGGGGTCCCCGAGGCTCCCCTTGTCCCGAGTTCTCGGTCAGGAGGCAGCGGCCGTGCCGGACCCGGACTCGGCCCCTCCGCGGGGGATGTGTCTCTTCCCGGCACGGCCTTCGTGCCAGAGAGGACGCCTGGCTGGTCACGGAGGTCCCCGGCCCCTCTGCGCCAGGCAGGGCCTGGGGTCTGGGCCCGGCCGAGGGGCCCCCGGCTCACCGGCCGAGCTCTGGTCCTCGGGGTTGTGGAGGCGGCTCTGCTTGTCCGCTCCCCAGCAGAAGGTGGCCAGGGGCCCCTGGGCCTCCCCGCGCTGCCTGGTTGACGCTCCAGACGTGCGCTTTCCCAGACGGCAGTGCCTCGGGGAGCCTCGTCGTGCGGTCGGGAAAACACAGGTCACTCTAGTGAAGGGACTGGAAATCCTTGAAGTCTCACGCCAGGGGG